CCAGAAAAGGGTGTTTGGATCTGGATAGCTGAAGGGTAGATTTGGAGCCTCATGGAGAAAAGCGAAACTGCTGTCCCCTGGGAGGAATGGACAGCTGCTGATGGGGTGGAGCTGTGATAGTTCATACAGGCAGGCTACAGTCTGGCTAAGATTTACAATCAGAGCAGACAGCATCTGAGGCTGAAGGAGGCTCCGTGGCTTAGCTGACTTCCCCGCTCTGCTGCACAGATTGAGGCCTGGGAGCGAGAGCAGCTGAGCCAGCCTGTCTGTTTTGACTGCTGCTGTATTGACCAGTCTCCCTTCCAGCTGGTGGAGCAGACCACTCTGCACAAGGCAAGTGCCAACCGCTCTGGGCTACAGCGAGGGCAGCCGAGGCAGGGGCCGGGAGCAGTAAAGGCCCACGCTGATCTGTGCTTTCTTCACGCAGACTCACACACTGTTCTCACTCCTCGGCCTTCACCTTGCCTACGTGACCAGCATGGGGAAGCTCAGGGGCGTCCTGGCACTAGAGGAGGTAATAGTAACAGGTAGCACTTAAGCAGCAAGAGGGAGGGGTGAGCAAGAGGTAGCGTTGCCATTTTGGGATTTTTTTCCCCCAGATTTCCTTTTCTGTTTCTCAAGCAGAGACTGGAGAGGGTTAGGGGGCAGCAAGAGGAGGCAGAGACACAAAGACTTTTACAGTCTCAGTCCTGAGAGGGACCTAGTTTTCCTCCACAGTGGGACCTCCTGTGGCCTTCCCTGGATAGTGTGTGCTTAGGATGGGGTTCAAGGTCTGAGGCACAGTCTTGAGTGGGTGTGCCTTGGGGAGTGCTGGTGGTGGAGGGCAGAGTGGGTTGTAAGTGCTGGAGATCTTGCAGGAATGGAGGGTCTGAGTTGGAGGAAGTGGAGATGGCTGCTCTACACACAGCTTGTTGTGCCTTCCTCCTTGGCTTGTTCCATGGTATCTCTTCTTTCTTTCCCGCTTCTGGATGTGTTCTCTCTCTGCCTGTCCTGTCTTTCCCTTGTGAGAGCCCCATCTCTCACATTTGTTCTCTCCCACTGCGTTTCCCTTTATGCCCCAGCTGCAGAAGGCCATTGAAGGGCACACCAAGTCTGGGGTACAGCTCCGACCTCCACTTGCCAGTTTCCGGAGCACAACTTCAACTAGAAAGAATCCAGGTGGACCGCCCCCTCCTGCAGAGGGCTGGAGCCTGCCTGAAGATGGAGCTGGGGCCACCGGAGTAGGGGACGTGGTACTTGCCTCTTCAGATTCCCCTGTGCCATCGCCCTCCCCTGAGCCTCCTCCCTCCTCGGCTCCAGTCAAGTTGGAGCAAGAGCTGGAGGTAGTGGAGGAGCTGGAGCTACTGGAGAGTGCAGGGCCGAATGAGGAGCTGGCAGACATCTTGCAGGGCCCCAGTCTGAGATCCACCGATGAGGAGGATGAGGATGAGCTGATCCTTTGACCACCCCTTCTAGACTGCACAGACTGTTGAGAGGCCTGTGCCAGAGGGTGGCATCGCGAAGGAGTCAGCATTTCTGGTGTAGAGAAGCCTTGGTCAATCAAGTGGATTGTTTGCTCCATCACCAGGCAAGCAGGCAGGTGGCTTTAACCCAGCTGAAGCCTCTGATATTCCATGGGGCTTTCTGCATCCTCCTGCTGTGTGGGTGGGGAACGTCCTGCCTCCCCACCCCCACAGTGCCCTGGGTTCTTGTTCTTGTGCCTTTCTGATCTTGTCTGTCATTTAGTTTCCCAAAGGCATGGCTGAGGGGAAGCCCAGCTGACTGTGGCCCCGCAGGTAACACACTTGAGGAGATGGGACCACCTCTTGGTCTTGTGCACTGAACACTCTAGAATGTGCCTCCAAATTACCCTCAACTGTTTCTCAGCCCTGCCACATGGCCATACTCACTCCCCGCCAACTGTCCACAGACCTCACCCTGGCTTCCAATACCTGTCTCCAGGTCAGGGCCATGACAAGCCAACCACATTCCCCCTCCTTTGTCCTTTGCTTCCAGCAGGGAGACTGAAATCAAAGCCCTGTTGAGGGCAGCCTCCTATAAGACAGAAAACTGCCAACTGCCAAAGGCTCCATGTGGAAGGAGCAGGTGTCTTGTTGGCAGTCATGTTCCATGGGATTCTCTGAGTCCTTCTGACAGAAAGCTCCTCATTTCACATCACGACTTCCTTGGTCCCCTATCTCCCCAGCTAGTTCCTGGAAGATACATTTTCTACCCCGACCAGTTATTCACTGTCCTGCCCAGGGTGGGCTCTATTCTGGAACTGCTGTGGCTGGGGCTTCTCCTGCAACCAACCCAGGCTCTGAGCGGCTAAGGCTGAGGAAGTTGGCCATCAGCCACCGCGCCCCCCACCCCCACCCCCAGGCTACTTCCTGGAGTACTTCAGGGATAGAGAACTGGGAGTGCAGTGCAGTGTCAAGGCGCCAGCCCTCTCCAGGCATCCAGAAACCTGGCTGCACACCCAAGGTGGCTCCGCAACAGCCCTGTCTGCCTTGTTTTGTTCTGTAGTTGGGTCCCTTTCTAATGTTCTCCTCCTCTCCATCCCCTAGTCCAGTCTCCTTCATCACCCAAATAAGACACTCACAGCCAGAGGATGCCGCCACATTCTATTTAGTGTCACTGAACACAGCCTCTGACCCTGTGCAGCATCGCATCCCTTCCACCTCCCCAGGCCAAGAGAAATGCTGCAGCCTGAGCAGGGGGACTGGCAGTGGGCAACCACGCCCATGCCCATGTATATATGATTGTATATTTATATATATTTATATAGAATTCTCTCTGTAGTAATATATGTTATAGAACCTCTCTTGGACCTGGGATGAGAATGTCACATTAAGAAAACACACTAAGACTGGACCCAGAATTAGGTATCTCCCGGTAAGACAAAAGTATGGGATTTTTTAAGCAGGGGCAAGGAGAAGATAAAGAACTCATCCCCCAAGATTCCCTCCTCAACACAAAGATAGGAAAGTGTGTGTGGGATGGAGGGGGCAATGGAAGGGGAGGAGTGGAAGATCTGGGTTTTCCTTTAATAAAATCAATTGGAAATGAAAGTGCATAGCCCCCTCCCCTCCCAAATCATTTAGCAAGAGCGGTTTCATTCACAAGAATATCAAAACAGCCCTGCTCCAGGACTGCCATAAAACGTGCTGCACAGCCTTTAGCCCCAAATAAAAGCAACCCTTCCCCACCCGCCCCCCAACAGCCTCTTCCTGCACATGCCCCTCCCCTCCCAGTAAAATAGGCTAGAAGCAAACCCCATGCACCCTGCCCAGCACCAGGGAAGCAGTCCCTCCCTCCAAGAGCCCCCAGATGGTCCCGGGCCAGCTCCTGTGATCTACTCCCTCTTCACGATGGGGGTGGGAATGCTTCAGAAAAGCACCCCTCACCTGTTGCCTCTGGCTTGTAATGACATGCCAGCACCCTGGCCAAGCCACACCCTTGCCCACGTGTGAGCCCAAGGTCTTTAGTCATCTTTCATCAGGAAGCATTTGGAGTCTTAGGAAAGGGAGGGTGGAAAGAAAGGGTCCTGAGCAAAAGGCAACCCTAACAACGAGCTCATTCACTGGATTTGCATGGTCACTGTGGACTGGGGGAACCATGGAGCACTAAGGGAGTGAGATGAAGAAGATGGGGCAAGTCGGATGAGGTGCAGAAACAGCCCCTGGGGGGAGGGTGATGAGAACATGCAATACCCAGGGGCCTGTGGCAGGAGACTGGGGGTGTGGGCATGCATGACCACTTTCCAGAAGTCCTAGAGACAAGGTCCTGGTATGCAGAGTCAGGATACTTCTGTAAACACAACTACCTTCTCCCATTTAGGCAGCACTGCCTTAGGTGAGTGACTGCTCACCTTCCTTGATTCACCTACTCCTACATTTCCTCCAAGCACCAATTTCAAGATGACCAGTTTCCTGCTGGAAGACACAGGACTCCTGCCCATATGTGTCTAAGACTATGAACTTGATGGAAGGGCAGGGTTATGGATGGACAGAAATCCCCCAACTCCCAATCTCCATAATTCCAAAGCAATCACAGTCAGGCTTGAGGGTGAAGGATAGTTTGTGCCCAGGGGACAACTGTGCTTCCCTCTCAGCAGAGGATCAGCACATGGGCAGGATGCTGGAACCTTAGATGGGCACAAGGAAACAGGACAATGAGCCTTTCAGGCTTCTCTCCTATCCCAGATGCTGCCTATGCCAGGGACCAGGGTTACCACTCAGAGAAGGTGAGGTATTTGCCAGCTGCCTCCCCCGACCCATCCCCGCCATCATGTGCTCTCATGGCAGTGCAGACCTCCCATAATGATCAATGCTCCCCACCCCCCAAGACTGGAAACAGTGTGAGCAGGCAAGCTTGTACCTCACAGTAAACCACCCTGGAAGGAAGAATGCACTGATTCCCCTTCTGTCCTACAACAGGCAGCTTGGGGAGGGAGGAAAGACACCTTGGAGGGCATCTCAGGAGTCCTGGGAGGAGCTGGCAGAGGGGCAAAAGGAGCTAAGTGCGGACCTGGCCTTCAGCCACCAACCCGATGTAGCCTAGGGAGTGACAGCACCAGACTCCTCCCTCCACCCTGCTCAACCCTGAGTCCCAATAAGTTATAAAAATGTAAAAAAGGCAAAGAGAAAAGTGTAAACAGCTCCAGAGAATTAGGGGTGGTTGGGGGTAGACACAGCCCCCATGCTCTCCGCCACTGGCTGGACACCTGCAACCTGTGTCAGCATATCTGAGACCAGTATCCCCCTCGCTCTCCTCTGGGCCAAAGCTCCTGAGGCAGGAGACAGAAGAAGGCATAAAAGGAGCAAAACTGGAGCCGCCAGCCCCAGATGGGTCTTTTCCCAGATCCTTCAGATCCTCCTTCCAGCCACATTTGTTCTTGGTCTTGTCTGTGACCCTCTTGTCTCTGAGCAGCCCTTGACGTAGGAATCACACTTGTGCTCCCAGTGAACCCCAGGAGCTGCATCCACCTTCTCCTGAACAACTGATCTTAGAAGCACAATTAGAAGTGCCATACTCAGCAGGCATGCCAGATAGGCCTATGGCTAGCAGCCCTTGAGGTCTGCTTCTTGCAGTAGAAGTGGGTGGGGGTCACAGCCAGAGGAGACAGGAAAAGCAAGAGTGAAATGGAAAAGAGACATTCATACAGTACAGCCAAGGCTCCTGGAAGACGAAATCAAGGAGTGAAGAACTGAGATCCAGTCTCCAGCACAGCTGCTCTGTGCCCTGGTCCTTAGACTGTACACTCTGCAGGCTTTATGGGCACAGACCCGGAAGCCTCTGGCCAGGGACCCTTCTCCCATGGTCATACCAAGTCCACCTTCTAGTCACCTGGCTTCCCAGACCCGTGGTTTCCAGAGTGTAAGCCTGGATGAAACCCAATTCTGATCTTCTGTTTTCTGGGAAAGGACTGGAAGCTCCCAGGTTCCCCGCTGTCTTCTGCCCAGGTTCAGCTGTGCTGCTGGGGAAAGGGAGGGTATGGGTTGTAGCCATGCCCCTTAGGCAGGAGTGCAGTGAGAAGAAGCTAGTTGTTGGCCTCACCCTCCTCCTCATCGAAGGACTGCACACCTGAGGATGTGACATCAGACACCTTCCGACTGAGAGCAGTGGACATTTCGGGGTCTTCTCGTGGGGAAAGAGACTCCAGGTCCCGGCATCCTGCATCCTCTTCCTCCTCGGGGGCTAATGGCCTCTTCTCCTCCTCGGCAGAGCCCCTTGCCAGGTCCACCCCATCCACCCCTGGAGCCCAGTCAGTTTCTTCCCCCAACAAAGGTGGAGGCTCCTGAGCAGAGTATGCCGAAGCAGTGTGGGAAGGCCCCATGTCATGCAAGCTGGGCTGTGAGTCATCAAATGCAGGGCCAAGATAGGATCCTGTAGCTGGAGAGGCAATAAGGGACTGGTCGCTTGCTTCCCAGGCATCCGATGACCCCAAACAGTACATGCCCTGGGACACATAGGAGTGAGGCCAGCCATCCATGGGGGCTTGAGCAAGGCCATCTGCAAAGAAAATCAGGGAGGTTGGTGGGGCCAAAGGACAGCAAAGGCAGTGCCAATAGCACCAAGGAGTCAGGGTAAGGCCCAAGGGGTGCACAAAATAGGGAAGACAGTGGGAAAGCCGAGATGAGCAGGAAAGACTTGCAAGAGCAGGGATGAACGGAGGATGCTCAGAGAGCTGAAGAGGCTTCTGAGGCCACATCTCTCACCCTGACTCTCCATCAACTCCTGGTAGTTGTCACTGTAATTGCAGCCCAATGGCTCCTGGGTAGAGTTGACACTCATGTCCTCGCCATCCATGGAAGACCAGGCCATAAGTGTGGCCTCAGAGATAGCAAATTGTTCCATGACACCTGTGAGAAGAAACACTGTCACTTGGAAACATCTCTGAGAAGCCGCAAGCACACCCACCCAGGGGAAAGGACAAGCTAGTGCCACACTACTCAACAGAAACAATGCAAGCCACTGCTCTAACTTTGATTTTTCTAATAGCCACAGTAAACAAAATTAAGGATGAGATTAATTTTTAAATAATATCTTATTTAGTCAAATATATAGAAAACATTATTTCAACATATGGTCAATAGAAAATTAATGAGATACTTGTTTGTTTTGTTTCTACACAGTCTGAAAGCAGCCAACATTTTACACTTACAGCACATCTCCATTCGGACTAGCCACATGTTAAGCTCCCAATAGCCACAAAGGGCCATGGGCTAGCAATTGGACAGCACAGCCTTTGTTTTTGTCCCGTAACAAGGCAAAATCATGTGGGACTTCCCAGAAAGCCAGATTTAAAATTCCTATGGGAAAGAGTTGGGAAGGGGTCTTCTGGTGAGACATCCTAAGAGATTAGAATGAGGAATTTCCAGAAGTTTAACTTTGAAGGACTCTAGGAATCGAACTACTGGTGATCAAGGACAGAGGATTCTATCTAGCCGGAGGCAATGGATCATCAGAGAGTATGTGGGGCTTGTGGGTCCACAGTGATGCAAAGTTGAAACCTCAAGGGGTTGGAGGGAGATGGAAAGGTACAGTAGTAGGGGGTAGCTGGTCTTGTGAAAGCCACTGAGTTGAAGGTTACATTGCTAATACACTACCCCTCTTCCTTAGCTGTTCTCTGTATGTCTGTCCCCCTTCCCACCAATATTCCTTCTACCCACCCACCAACACCAACACTTCCCTTCGCTGCCAGACCTATCACTCTTCCTGGGTGTATCTGCGTGCTCCTGCATACCCATCATCATGCCTATGCCACTTTCCTGGGATAGAAGTCACCCTCCTCAGCAGATCACCATATCCCTCTGCAATCTGACCCAACTCCCTGCATCATCAAATGTTGTCACAGGGAAGCGAATTCGTGGCACAAAATGCTAATGAGCAAAGACCAGAAGACATCCTCAAGGGCTTTCCTTCTTGTCCTACTAGAAACATGAGCAGAAGTATATCATTTAAAGCCCAAGGCCACGTATTTTTCCCTCTACTAAGGGAATTCAGGTGTTGTGCAGTCCCACAACATGGGAGAGAAGCACCTAGGAAACTGAGACAAATCCCATTCATTCCTCTTATTTTCTGAGAAGGACAATGGGAAAGCCAAGTTTGAGGGCACTTACTAGAATTAACCATTCAGAATGCTCACGTTTAGAGCTGTTTGGGAAATGTAAGGCTACGGTCAACAGACCATGCCAATTCTGCCATAGGGGATCAAAAACTTGTCACAAGGGTTCAGAAAACAAGTACCTGCCAGAAAACGGGCTTCCTTCTCGCCATCACTGAGGTCAGAGTAGGCGTCGGTATCCCTGCGCACTGCCTCATGGCTGTGTTGTGGCTGAATGGCTGGTGCCTTCCCCCAGCCCTGCCACTCAATCATGTGGGCTACCCGACCTTGTCCCATGGCTGTGGGCTTTGTCACGTGGTCCTTCATGCTGCGCGAGATCCCTAAAGAGCCAGACATTCTCCACATTGTCCAAAATGACACACAACATCCTTACCAGACCCTGCCCACCAGCCCCAAACCCATCACGTGGGGTATGTATCCCCTAGAACTCCATAAATGAGGGGTAGATTGCAGGATGGCAGAGGTTTGAGGCAAAGAGGTCAGGGGTGTGGGTGACAGGCCTGGAGGACAAGGACACTGAGACCAAGAGCTTTTAGGCAGTCGCCTATCTAGAGGCAACCCCAGGTCAAGAGTCTCACCTGAGAATGATGATTTAGCCAGGGCTCCAATGCCATAGGCGTTAGAGTTTCGCTTAAGCTTCGGAAGAATAGAAGTGGTGTCCTCCATGGAGAGCTGTGATAAGAAATGTGGGAGGAGAGGCAAAGTGAAGAAAGTATGGGGAAGCTTTCAGTATGAAGGCATATACCGTAAAACGGGAGGGCAGGTACAGAATGTGAGGACTCTTGGTGCCTGCAAGTCAGGGTGTCCCACGTTCCCTGGGAGGTGTATGGGAGATTATAAGAAAGGGAGTTAGGGTAGGTTGAGGAAGACTAGTGGCAGGTGCACTCACATTGATGCCATCCCAGGAGAAATCAGTTCGAGTTTGCTGTGAGGAGACAGGAAAAGGGATGAATTATCTCAGGCACTTCCAGGAATACAACCAACCCACCTTCCTTTAGAGACTCCAGAAGCCTGGGGAGTAAGAAGGGCTCTCCTGAGGGAAACACAGAGAACCAGGATCCCAATGGGCAATGTTTGGCATGCATTTTGAGGAAAGCAAAAGCGTTTTTAGAAAAGTGTCAGCATCTGGGATGTTGCTGTGGGATTTCCAAAGAGAACTGAAGGACCAGGCAAGCTGGAGAGGCAGGGGAGAGTGAGTGGGGAATATTCTTGGTTCATGACCGTTCTTGGAGTCTCCTAGAGGTCTTCTAACGAGAAGGCTGAGCAGCGAGGATCTCACCTCTGTAGATGGCCGATGGAGGCTGCTTCCATGCAGAGAGCTGGTACTGTCCATGTTGATTTGGTCAACATCCTTGAGGCCCTTCCAATCCACTGCGATCACCTCGTTTCCTGCAGGGGCCAGAAAATTGGCTGCCTTCTCCTCCCTCTCCTCCCTGGAATCCTGCTTGTGTCTCCTCACAGAAGGTGAGACCGCACATGGAAATCAACCCTCTGCACTCCTTCAGACTGCAGTTCCCTTTTACATCCCTTGCTGTTCCCTAATTTTGCTGGAGGGAAGTAATAGTGCTAAACCAACCTATTCTGGTTTTGCTCAACCAAAATTAGCACATTCAGAAAAAGTAGTCTTTGTTGTTTAAAAACGTATTTGTTTTTTATACATAGGAACAGAAGTCATCTTCAGGGGGTTACTGCTAGGAGCTGGGATTTCCACCTAGACCACAAACACAAGCACTCATCTCCTTGGGAAGCTTCTGTGTGGAGAAGGGGGAGTGTGGCTCCCAGGAAGTCAGGCAGAGGCAGGAGTTGGAGAATGAAACACTGGGTGTGTTACCAGGAAGACATGGGACTGTGAGATGGGGCCGCCACACTTGACTGCTCTGAGACAGGGGATGGATTAAAAAGCAGAGAAAAGAGGCAGTGGAGAGAGAGAGAGAGAAGAGGGCTTTTTAAAAATAGGAATGAAAGTCTGGGAAGGCAGAAGATCGTGGGAGGAAGTGGCAGGGTCTGAAGGCTGACTGGGAAGGTGCAAAGCCAAGCAGGGCACAATTGTGCCCATTGGGACCACCGCTTGGGTAATTACATTAAGCATCACACACCAGCCAGCCAACCCCACAGAGCCTGCAGACACATGAAGTTTTGCGACTCTGAGAGCTCCATGATTGGGAAGAGGTAGACTGAAAGAGGTCTCAGGCATGGGGGGGATGAGCATAGCAGGCACACTCACACACCTGGAAGGGAGCTTGCGGTGGGAAGGTTAGATCATGCCAGGAACGGGGCAGGCTGAGAACCTTTTCTGAGGCGAGGAGGGCCCCAGGAGGGCAGAGTGGGAGAGGAGAGTGAGGGGAGGTGGCCTTTGTGGGAGAGCTGAGTCAGAGCGGGGCAGGGAGTAGAGGTGAAGGCAGGGGAGGAGGGAGTATCCATGGAAATGAACCTGGTCTCAGAGAACTCAGGCTTCCTGGGAGTGAGTTTGTTTGTAATAATAATACGAATTATTCTCTCAGCCTGCGGTCACTGAGTTCGTAGGTGGCAGAAACTGGGAATTGGAAAGGGGAAAACTGGGGGTTTGGAGAGAAGGTTGGATTAATTTGTTGAGCTGTTCAGAGTGGAGTGGGAGCACAGATTGGGGGTAAGAGGGCGGTTGCAAGGCTAAGGCAGGAGGCAAAGGGTGGATCAGGAGGAGCCTCTCCACCCTCCCCCAGTCAAAGGTAAATAAAGGGCCGGCCCCGCCCCGCCGGGCCGGGGTGACAGGTGCAGTCGGGTCTCAGAGCTAGCCCCACCCTTCTGGGAAGCGGGCTCCCTACCCTTCTCGGTCCCTCCACATCCCGGCCTCCTCCCCGCGTCCACCGGCTCTTCCTCTCCAGCCCAGCCCAGCCCTGCCCGATCCCCTCCGGGCGTGGAACCCGTTCTCCTCCAGGAGGCACCGAGCTCATCCCGCCCCCGCCCCAGAGGGGAAAAATGCACGTGAACAAAGCAATTCGGGGGAGGCAGCAACGACAGGAAAAAAGGCAACCGAGAGGGAAAGACAGGGGGCAAAGCAAAGCATCCAAGGGAGATGGAGGGCGGCTGGGGGTGGGGGCAGGGGCGTGTGAAGGGCCGGTGTGGGGGGGGGGGACGGAGAACGAGACCAGGGGACTGTTCTACAAGCGGCGACTGGAGGAAACGCTGGGGACAGCGGAGTACGGCTAGGGATCCGGGGGTGGGAGGTGGGGGCGAGGGGGACGCAGGGCTGGTCCGAGAGGCGGAGAGGCGGAGGGCGGCGGTGGAGAGATGCCGGGGAAGGGAGCGCGCCTTGCGGGAGGACTACGAGGATGGCCAGCAGCTGGGATGCACGCGAGCTCCGGAGGCGCAGGCAGAGATCCGGGAGGACGCGGGGATGCAGGGACAGCGAGCAGGAGGAGGGAAAGTGAAGGCGCGAGGGCAGGGCCAGGCGGGTGCCTAGCGAGGGTCCCCGAGGGGTTAGGATGGGTGGGGGAGGGGCCGGGGGACTGACCCAGGGGCCAACGCTGTCCCCGCGCACCCGCGCCCGGTCGCGGTACCCACCCACAGTCCGCGAGCCGATGCAGCCCATGGCTCCGGGGGCCTCCGGGCCGGGCCCTCACCGACTCGGGGCGCGCGCCGGGGGGAGCACCGGGAGCCGCGCCGCCGCCCCAGCCGCTCTGCAGCGCCGCGGCTGTCTCCACTCAGCTCCGCTCCCCCCTCCCCTCTCCATCCCTCCCCACGGCAGCCTTCGCCGCTGCCGCCGCCGCTGCCGCCGGGCTCCCCCGCCCCGGCTGGGCTCGTTCGCTGCGTCCGGGGAGGGGGCGGCCCCGGGATTGGCTGTGCGCGGCACCTCCCCGCCCTTGCCCCCGCATCCCCGCACTACGCTCCAGGCGCCCCTCCAGGCTATCCTTTAGCGCGAACTGGCGAACTGAGGGACTGGTACCCTAGCTACCCTCATCTCCACTAACCCAATCCTAGCACCCAGGGATGCTGGCTGAGTCTCTGCTCGTCTTTCGCCTGGGTTCCCCGCGGAGACGTGGAGGAGGTCAGGCTTCGGGTCCGCTTGGAGAGGTCGGGAACCTAGAGCCCACCCTGGGGCTCTGATGTATGGACTTTAAGGGCCAGGGTTGGGGTGGGGGTACCCTGAGAAAAAGTAGGATAAAAAGGAAAGAGCAGAGTTGTGGATACCAAATTCCGCAAACATTTGTTTTCTTCCTAGGCTGCATCTGCGTGACTGGATAGAGCTCGGGTGGCTCTGCGTTTGGGTGCGCTATTTCGTCCACCCAAAAAACAGATAGTGAAGTCTTTGCAAGTGGATCCTGTGTTGTGCTGCCACTCGCTTATCACTCGCTGGACCCGCAAGGAGGTGCGGGCTGTGTGAGGGTCAGGATGAAAGCATGTGATGAGGATAATTCAACCATAGTTATAGTGAAATAATATGATCAGCGTGGAGACACGCTTGGAAACCGACTCAACTTTTCCGAACCTCGGTCGGCTGGGGTGTTTTGAAACTGGGAAGGGGGCTCTGCCTGGGCTGCACGGGACTCCTCAGCCGCGGGAGGGAGTTTGAAGGATAACAGCAGGAAGTCAAATGAGCGAGAAAGCGCGAGGGGACCCTTCAGCCTAGGTAGTACTCCGCAAGCCCCAGGTGGGAAAGAGCAGGCCACCTAGAGAGGGAAGCATATGCCAGTCCAGGGCCATCTGGCTTCCCTTTGGCTCCGACCTCATTTCTGGGAAAAGAGAGGGAGCTGGGAGGTAGTAAGATGGATGGAGGGCAACTCTCCCAGGCACAACTGTTTAGCTTATGAATGGAGAGCTGCCTGTTGTGGAATCTCAGGTGAGAAAGCGGGAAAAGCAGACACCTAATCTGTTTTCTGTTGCTGTCATACAATACCTAAAACCAGGTAGTTTTATATAAAGAATCCAGATGTGTTTGGCCCACTGTTCTGGAAACTGGGAAATCACAGAGAGCACACAGCCCCAGCCTCTGCCTGGCATCTGGTGAGGACTTTCTTGCTGCAGCAAACAGAGCAGAACTATCACATGGCGAGACAGCAGGTGTCCCAACTTCGGCCAAGGCCCCACTTCACAAATGCCATTAATGCATACTTCCGGGAATGTGTTTTCCAGCATTGGAATTTTCCAGGGACACATTCAAACCATAGCCAATAATGTTAACCTAATTGTAAGTCTGTGAGGTGAAATTATAGAGAGAAAACCCATCGCTGGTTTTTGTGAGGAAACAAACCAACCAAAATTTACATCTACAAAGCCAAAGGAGTGGGGCTGGTGTGTGCCAGTGGATTAAGTCCCTGTATACAATGACAGCATTCCATATGAGTATGGGTTTGAGTCCAGCCTGCTCTGCTTCCAATCCAGCTCCCTGCCAATGTGCCTGGGGAAGCAGCAGACGATAATCCAGGTGCTTGAACACTGTCACTCACCGTGTGAGAAGCCCAGATGGAATTCCAGGTTCCTGGCTTTGTTGTGACATAGCCCTGGTCATTTTGGCCATTTGAGGCATCAACTAGAAGACAGAACCCTTCTTTCTTTTCTCTGTCTCTCCCTCTTTTCCTGTAACTATGCCTTCCAAATAAATGAAATCATTTAATAAGTGAAGTCGAGGAAAGAATTGGCTTCTCAGATTTTACTAATTATACTAGTTTGTGGTAGGTTCTGATTCTTTCTTTTTGCAGTAGAAAGAACTAATAAACAGTTTCTTTGTTCATATCTATTGTATCCAATGGTTTCTGCTTCAAAAGACAGCTGTGTAGTCATCATTTGATGACCTCAGGAGGTTGGTTCCAGGACTCCTGTGGCAGAGAAAATCCAATGACACCCTAGTGTTTTGCATAAGAATCATGAATTATTTGCGTATTTTCCTATATACTTTAAATCGACTCCACATTCGTAATACTACCTAATACAATGTGGATGCTATGTAAATAATAAACTGCATTGTTTAGGGAAGGGTTAACTACATATTGCCTAGGCACAAAGGAAAAAAAATAAAGATAGCAAGATGGACAAAATGTGAAAAAGAAGCAGTCTCACTGTTCCTGCGACAGCACTCAAACCTCTAACTGTGAGCACTGATGGGGAAGGGACACAGAGGCAGGTCATTGGCCAAGAAGCCATTGCTGCTCAGCCTAAACTGCTGTCTGCTTACGGTGCTCCCTGATGTATGCCTATGTATTACTATGTATCTGGTACTGTGGGACACCCCATTAGCATAGCTACTGGAGGCTGGATCTATCCAAATGATTTAAGTCAAGTTAGCAGGAAGGATCCCAGGCCTTAGAGACTCAGTCCAAACCCTCATCCTTTCTTGAAGGTACTTCCAGCATCTAAGAAAAGTCGAATATTATAGAGACACAAATCTGGCTGGCTTCCCTCCTCTTCTCTGTGGGGTTTCTCATACAGGCATCCTGTTACATTTTAGCATTGAGGAGCAGTCTCCCATCCTCCCTACCATCTTCTAAGCTAAGCCCAAAGATTTCAGTTCTGGTAGGAACTGGAACAACCTTCCTGGAGCATAGTTTGACAACACTGATCAAAAAAAGTCTTTAGGTATGCATCGCTGTTCTGGTTGTTACTAAATTAAGACACAACTATTCCATTTATAGAGTTACCATAAGGACATAAAAATAGAATGTGGACAAAGATTTAACTTACAGCGTTCATCAGAATGCTGTTTAGCTTCATTACCAGTTAATGAAGATTGTACATAACACACATACTCAACCTGGGGAGTAGTTAATAAGTTATGTTATATGTCTATACTAGACACTTTGCAGCCATTACTGATAGTTTGCCACTGTATTTGTTGACCTGGAAAATGTTTCCTGATCTATTTTGACAAAAAAAAAAGGCTTTAAAAGTTACAGTGCATCAATTTTTGCTTAAAAAGCACACACGCGCAAGCACACACACACACACACATTATTCCTCTCAAGTAATTGACGGCATTCCCTGAGGAAATCCCGTGTTTTACACATTTCCAGGCCTACTCATAGATTACAGTTGGATCATCACTGAGATCACAATGCTGACCACTTCATTTGCAAAGGCTAAAATTATCCGACCTTGGCAGAATGCTCCAGTATGGCTCTGGTATTTCCAGATTGCTCCCCCTTGGGACACAGTCCCAAAGTGAATTTATGCCTTCCGTTCTCTGTTGTGCTGGTTCATGCTGGATCTCGGAAAAAAAGAAGCAACCTGGTTCAGAGTACCATCTAAGACAGGAATTTTTTAAATAATTTTTTTATTGGAAAGGCAGATATACAGAGAGGAGAGACAGAGAGGAAGATCTTCTGTCCAATGATTCACTCCCAAAGTGAGTGCAACGGCCAATGCTATGCCGGTCCGAAGCCAGGAGCCTCTTCCAGGTCTCCCACGCGGGTGCAGGGTCCCAAAGCTTTGGGCCGTCCTCGACTGCTTTCCCGGGCTACAGGCAGGGAGCTGGAAGGGAAGTGGGGCTGCTGGGATAGAACCAGCGCCCATATGGGATCCCGGGCATGCAAGGCGAGGACCTTAACCACTTGCGCCACCGCGCTGGGCCCTAAGACAGGAATTTTTATCCCAGCATTAACGTCTATTCAAAGTCTATGACACTGGATGGGATTCACTATCTTGTCGCTGAAACTCTTCATTTGCTTCAATCACACAGATAGGCACCAAACCACAGTAGTATTAGAACTATTGCTTTGTGTCTATATCACCAATAAAAATAGCAGATGTTCACATCACATAGCAGTGTTTCTTTAAATACTTATTTATTTTTTTTTTAAGATTCATTTATTTGTATTGGAAAGTCAAATATTCAGAGAGGAGCAAAGACAGAAATGAAGATCTTCCGTCTGTTGGCAGAAATGAGGATCTTCCATCCCCGAGTGACTGCAACAGCTGGAGCTGAGCTGATCTGAAGCCAGGAGTCAGGAACTTCTTCCAGGTCTCCCATGCGGGTACAGGGGCCCAAGGCTTTAGGCCATCCTCTACTACTTTCCCAGACCATAAGCAGGGAGCTGGATGGGAAGTGGGGCTACCAGAATTAGAATTGTTGCTCATATGGGATCCCGGCTCATGCAAGGCGAGGACATTGACCACTAAGCTATCACACTGGGCCCAAGATTGTTTTTAATTGGAAAGGCAAATTTATAGAAAAAAGGAGAGGCAGAGAGTAAGATATTTCATCCTTTGGTTTACTCCCGAATTGGCCTCAATGGTCAGAACTGAGCTGATCTGAAGCCAGGAGCTTCTTCCAGGTTCACCCACGTGGGTGCAGGATCCCAAGGCTTTGGGTTATGCCCAGACCACAAATATGGAGCTGGAAGGGAAGTGGAGCAGCCAGGACACGAACCAATGCCTCATATGAGATGCCTGGCACTTGATAGGAAGGATCAACCAATTGAGCCACTGCACTGGGCTCAACATGAGAATTGTTATAGGTTATGTTATAGAATACTGTATGTTCATTGCAACTTTGAAAGTATGGTAGCATTGAACCTGACTCTGCCTTCTTTTAATGCCTTTATAAACAAACAGATATATTACTATATTACAGTTTCACAATAATGATATTTTGGTGTGATTGATTTCCTTTGCAATCATATATGTGTTATTTTATACATCTTATATTATTTTCAGGGAACACCATGAACTATTTAATCACCACTGAGATTGTGGCATTTTATATTGAAAAAGATTTGTGAAAATTGGAATTTAAAGATAAGCTGATTTGGGTGCACAAGTTCTTTGAA